CACACACTGTGCCAAAACTTAATGGGCCAGATTGGTATGAAATTCCTCTTTTACCTAGAAATAGAACGAGAAGTCGAAGATCGGAAAAATTCGTAAGAAATTGATTTCTTTTCTGAAAGCGCCGAATTAGACCACAGAGATTAGAGATCTCACACTACCCTGCTCCAAGCACTTGAAAGTGTCTATGCAAGATATTTTTCCACTTAAGGAAACAGTTTTATAACTTGATTTCAAATATTAAATTAGTTAAATTAATTTAAAGATGTTTTACGACTGGATCGTAAATAAAATCACACGATTTTAACAAAATTAGAAGTTAATCAATTTATAAGGTAATTGTTACTTGCGACTCGGACTCGAGCTACCGTCCGGAGAGCCAGCAGTCGGGATACTTCTGGGGCAAAACTGAGAATGACTGGGCTAGATCATCCTCGCGGAAGTGGTGGCGGCAGTTGCACTGAGGGGTGAGTGCCGACAGTTGGATATAAAGACAGGGGAGATAAGAACCACCCTAGCCGGTTTGAGGGGTGTGTGGCTTAGATCACAGTGGCTCGTAAGATCACCGCAGAAGGACAGCTAAGAGTGGGATGGTCATCGGCAAAAGTCACACCTCTGCCGATACATCCCATGCAATGCTATAGATGCCTGGAAGTTGGCCGCGTACGATAGAGGTGCAAGTCGGCGGTGGACTGCAAAGCTGCGGCCCCTTAGTGTCTATTATGCTTGGAAACTGGGAGGCCTGCTGCGCACAAGATGGCTTCGGCTGATTGCAAGCTGCTGACAAAGAGAATTGGGCGGGTTGGTGCTGTCGCTGCTCCGGCGGGGGATCCCCACTTCCGTATGCTGGATCGGAGAAGAGGATTCGTCGCAGTGGAGTGGGGGGACACTGCGGTGGTGGGGGTCTACGTGTCTCCCAAGAGCGGGATAATCGAGTTCGCCGCCTTCCTGAATGGGGTTTGGAATATACTTTGCGCCTGGGGCTCCTGGGGCGCCGTGATCGTCCTGGGGAACTTCAATGCCCACGCAACGGCATGGGGATCGTCTAGGACGGATGGTGGTGGAATGGGCGGCG